GTAAATTTTATACCCTCTATGACACCGTTATTATCAATTTGCGCAGAAAATGGTATAGAGGCAAATTCTTAGAATGATGTGTACTACCATGGGGTAAGATCAGAATCATTAAATTAGGTGTGGGGTTGCATTTTCATATAAATTTTGTTAAAAAGTTATATCATGCCACGGGCTGGACACAGCGTTGTGTTTACGAAATCAACTGATTGGCATTTACGGCTTGTGATTGGTCAAGACACCCAAAGAACTGCCTGAAACGGCAGCTGTGATTGGCCACCTAAGATCCGACGCCTGAAGTGATTTGCGGCGCTGCTGGACATTAAATTAAACTTCATAAGGCAGTGCTAAGGCGCCTTAAAAAACGTTTGAGCATATGAAGCTAAGTCCGAGATACGGCGCCTTTGACGGGCCTTAACTTAGGTCGCCGCAGGATGGTTAAGGCCTCCAGCGCGCCTTAACTTAAGGCTCTTTTGAGAATCCGACCCCTGGGCTCTGGCAGTGCATTCACATCATTTGCCATAAAGGTGGTAACATTGTTGTGGATTTTTGGTTGGAGGAAATATATCAGACAGTTCTAGATATTTCATTCTCATTCACACCAAAATAGAGGCTAGGAATCATAATTTGAACATACAATTTAACAAAATAACTAATCAAGGTAGCTTGCTTTTTAAATTATTTGACAAGAAAGCAAGGGAAGTTTTTCAGGTTAGTATCATTGTACATTCCTAATGGAAGGATATATTCTTATGGGGAAGCGATATTCGATGTTATGTTTTCGTTTTAATCTTTGCATCTATGACATGTGACATTCATTTCAGAATTTGGTTCGGGAGATTGAGGTTGCCTGCCAGAAGGATCCCACCATAAAAGAGATACTAAGAACAACCCCACCCCAGTTGACCCCAAACACTCATGTAGTTGGTAAGTGTTTTTTACCCGATTTAAGAAAGAAATTGTGTTATTGTTTGTCTTTTTCCAGACAGATCATGAGAGGAGCTTTATTGATATATGATGTTTTTGAAATAATAAATTTTGTAAGAAAGGGGCTGAAGGAGTGAATGGGAGGTTGATGTTACAAGAAACTAGAAGCACTCGGTGAGTGCATACCTCCACCAAGGTGGATAAGAAAAGTAATGATAATAATAAAATTATCCCTTTTGTCAAGCAGTAAGGGTACCTGATGCAATCCTTTAAAAAAATTCCTGGATTTGGATAATGATCAGATCAACCACCAAAATTTGATGGCATCTACATTGGGCTAAGGCACACACCAAGTAAAAAAATTCATAATTTTTTTTTTCATATGTTTATGAGTTATCTTGCTACCCAATAAATGAACCAACCAACCAACCAGTGTTACCAAAAACATAATCTCCTTTTTTTTTTAAGCAAGGTCAAAAAGACAGCAGTGGATAAGCATTTAGTTTCCTTTAACATTTTAGTTGTGTAAAAGGGTAAAAAAAATATACATAAACAGACATACATTTTTATATAAATATGTGTTGATCCTTGTTTTTGTTGTTTTTAGGAGAATACTACATTTTTCTTATGGTATTTAGCTTATCTTATCTCTATTATCCTTCAACAGCACAACCGCAGAGGCAGTATGTTGGGTGGGCTCAACGCACAAATAAATTGTCAACATCAATTGTTGATCGTATCATGCGAGTAGGGCAGATGCAGGTCCTCAGGCTCCATGCTGCAAATCGTCTCAATTCTTCATGCAAGTTTGATGCCAAGTATCTTGCAGCTGCACTTTCAACTATGAATGAGTAGGGCTCTTTAAATTTATTTATTGCCTGTAATCATTGTAATTATAAGGGTCACTGATGACTTAAAGGATCACTGTGGAGAAATGCATTATACTAATATTAACCTGTAAATTATTCAACAATTTATTAAAGCTAATTTGTGTTTTCACCTTTAGCTCGCTTATGTCAGATGTAAAGAAACATTATGCTGATCCTACAAGGCCATACCCAGATGAGGACGGTGCATTAACCAGTGAACTCAGTATCTTTTTGGAGTGGTGTGGGATGACCCAACCTCTTAATAGGATCTACATCACCACAAAGGCTCTTAATCCTCTGAGCATGGTGCTACTGTTGACTGTGATCAACCAGATTCCAAAGATACATTATGCAAAAATGCTTGGTATGTCGAACAGAAAAGGAATTACTACTTTTTGCTGGTGTCCTTAAAATGTTCTGAAAAAGGGAAAGTAAATGCATTCAAATTCATTTATGTTAAGTTCTATAGTCATGTGGAAAGACAAAATATAAAGTACTTCTGGTTGAATAAAAGTAATATATGTCTATATTAAAACAGGTACCCTGACTGGCATCAGAGGCACTGAGGGCATTGATGGAGAATTACTTGTAACGGGACTTGCATCCCTGTTGCGACAGTTTCACCAGGATCATACACTTCGTTTCATTGAACTTCTATCCCAATATATCACATCCTTCACAACACATACTGCAGCAAGGTTTGTGAAGTATGGATTGCTTGTACAAGTATTTGCACTGGAATATCTTGGCTTTCCTCACATCATCATTATGTGAGGAGTCATTTTGACAAGACATGCCCCTAAAGTGTCACTGACATGCAACAAATACGAGTTTCAGGAAAAGTGAAAGAAGCCTGTATGATCTCTCTCCCCCTATCTGCAGTTGTCACTCTCTTTCATTCATTCACTTATTCACTCTCTCTGGTATTTATTCAACCAATTCTATTTCTTTCATTTTTGCTTGCTCTACAAGCCACTGCACACTATTAAAATTGCTCAGGACAATCACACAAAAGTGTCAATTGTGGCAGTTCCCATAAGGTATTTTATAGGTGCTGCCCTGCAGTAAGTGAAGCCAGACAGATTTTTTCTCAATGCTGTTCTTCACTCCGCTCCTCTCCCTTCTTCCTAAGATGTTGCAGAATCTCCCCAGTGTCTCGTCTGCCTACCCATAATCACCCTCTCTTTTTCCCCTATCCCTCCTAGTCAAATTCAGTCAAAAGGCAATCTAACCATTCCACCCAACCTTCTACCATATTCTCCTACACCTAACTCTTTAGCTACCCCACAGACATATGTCATCTTTTCCCCCTTACTTTCCCTCACATATCCCTTCTTCTGCGACACCCCAACCTGTTGCACCTTTTCTGTTGATACCCTATTCTCCTTCCTCGGCTACTTAAATATCCCTCATTTGATCTAACCATCCTTTGTCCCCATCTACCCTCTCTTTCTACTCCTTTAAATACTATACTATCATACAATAAATGACCATTGAAATATGATACTTTAACTCTAATAAAGAACTTTAAAAAACCCTCTCACCACAATACAATACCATAGTGCTATATGACCCTTGATGTCTAGCACATTTATTTTTTTGTCGTCATTATTACATCTTTTCTCCTCCTTATACCTCTCTGCCCTACTCCCCTCCAGAAACCCTTGAAGACATCCAAAACTTCCTAAAGATGACCCAAGAAAATGCTCCTCTCTCTTATCCCTCCACTATCTCCTGGATGCTTGTACGACTTCCTTGTGACAAGTGTCCTTCCCTGGATCCTTCCCTTCCTGACATTCTGATACTTTACCTCCTTCCTGGTATCTTCTTATTCCTTGGTTTCTTCATCTCTGACACTTATTTCTATTTTCATTACCCATTGATTGCTTCATAATGACTCTTTTGCACTGTTCCTCTTCCTTTCTCAAATGCACAGATGCCCTCCATTTGCTCTAATTACCCTTTGGCCTTGACTCATTTCCCCCATTAACTCATCGCTGCCTTACTCCACTTGGTACCCCTCTTTACCCTTTTCACTACAATACTATCCTAGTGTTTGTTTTAAACAACCATTAACCCTTGTCATGTCACCAAAATTTTCACTGATGCTTGGTGGTCTAACCACATAAGGTAGACAAAAGCACAGGTACAGAGTGATATGTATTAAATCACCTTGACTTACATATGTGAATAGGTTAAGATTGAAATAATGTATAAATACTATCAAGAACCAATATTAACATTGATACTTTTACTTTTTCAACAGTACTAACAAGGCAGCAGACTTACCTCACGAAATATTGACTGGGCTAGCAGTTTTGCAAGAAGTTGCCAAGAAAATGGCGGTCTCCAAAAAAACTCTCTCATTATATGTGCCTCAGCATCTTCTTGCTGCACATATAGGCTAAGTTAATGTTCCTAAAATCTTTTGATTTTTCCCTAATAAGAAGTATGGCTGTTAGGTGATTGTCTTATTTTGAGTAACGGAATACTAAATAGTTATTGTTGGATGTTGTTATTTGCCTGGAAGATATAGTTAATGTATATATTTATACAGATATTTTTGTAATTATAAGACTAATGTCATTTGAATATATATCTCGTTACAAATAAAAGAATTCAAGAAAGCTTAGAAAATAAATACAAATATGATGATTTATGGGCACAAGTAAAACCCATTAACATTCCACAAGTAGTCAAATATACACATATACTGTGTATACAGCTCTCTCTCACATCAATATTATACCTTTTTTCAGTTATTACATTGATATTATGCTACTCCATGTGATTTTCGTTTAATTTTAATATAAGAATATTGAAGATATTCAGCCATTGTTTAGGTTTGGTTTCTGTCAGTAATGCTAGTCATATCAGAGTACAGCATAGTTACAACATTGCATTTTAAATGTTCTTCGGTTTTATTTTTAGTTGATCTCATTATAATGTGTATGAATTCACTTAGTGAATAACTTGAAAAATATAAATGTGTGATTCCAGATAAAATTTGATTTGGGCAGAAACAGGAATTTTATTACCATTATTTACACAGGTTATTGCTGCATAAGTAAAAATTTAGGGTTCCTCAGATGGGAAAAATTGTTACTGTCAAATGTTCATATTGTAATCTCTGATTTGTGTAAAATTTTCAACAATAATGCAATAAAGTAAAAGCAAAACATTTTTACAGGGTAAATGAGATAAGTATTTTATCCTCCTTTATTGAAAAAAGAGCTGTTTTTTATAAATAACATTCTGCTGGGATAAGCAAACTGAATGATGTTATAAATCAAAATACTCATTGGTAAGCATGATTCTCCTGCAAATATACTTGAACTTAAAACATTACTAGTAATTACTTTTTAATGTAATACAACTATTTCTTTTGCTTCTTCTTCTCTGCTTCCTCTTCTTTCTCCTTCTCAATCTCTGCTACGATCTTCTCAAGGCTGCCAATATCTAGCATCTGAAAAATGCCAAAAATGTTTTTAATTGACTGAAAAGTATTTTATTCTATTCAAATAAGGTAAAACATTTTACCACTATCTTGTTTTTCCCAATATTATTGAAGCAAACTAAAAGACAAAAATATATTACCCTCATTGGTTCATTGGGCTTCATAATTGCAACTTCTACATTTTTGGCCCCAGACTGGACCACTTCTAGCAATGCCTTAACTACTAGCTTGATGGCTCCTGCCTCTGTTGAGACTACCTCATCAGTGTAATGCTTCTCCAAGAATTCTCGGACAGTCTTTGCACTGCGACCTGTGGCATTGGCCTGGAAAACAAGCGATGTGATTGATTCATTGTACAAAATCGTTCAAGGCTGAACTAGTGGATTGTTAGTTTCTTTGACAGTATTACTGGCCATTAATAAGAATACTGATAAATACGAATAAAAATAAATAATCATTTTTATTAAGAATACTAACCTGCCACTCTGTGTATGTGCCAGAGGGATCTGTCAGATACAAATGAGGTGTTCCGTCCATGTCAAACCCAGCAATAAGACATGAGGTACCAAAAGGTCGACGGCCATTGCTTTGTGTGTACCTCTGTTTCAATGTGGCAATGAATCTGTAAATGTAAATGAATTATGTACATATATATAAATCAACAGGGAAAAGAGAGGGATAATTCCAATCACTGATTGTCATGAAGTCCCAAGAAATAAAATGGTGCAACTTACCTTGTAATATATTCAAGAGTGACAGGGTCTTCCACAGTTAGCTTGTGAGACTGACACTCAACTCTGGCCCTGTTAACCAAAATTCTTGCATCTGCTGTAAGACCTAAAATAAACCATAAATCAATCAGTATCTTGGGAAACAAAACAGAGAAATTATATCAGATTACAGTCAAAACAAGTGTGGGAAGTAATTGCAATAAAGTGATCCTAGTATAGTACCTGCAAATGCCATCAGTACATGGTCATCCAAGAGACAGATCTTTCTTACTGTGCGCTCTTCCTGCAGCTTTGGAACAGACTTCTTCTCTACACACAGAACCACAACATCTTTGCCTTTCACACCAACCTGAAAAAGTCATCATAGAATATAGGTCCTACACATACAGTATACACCATATATATTCCAATAATGTTAATTTTATTTACTTACTTATTTATTGATTTATTTATTATTTATTTATTATTATTATTCTTTTGAAGTCAATATGAATAACTATAAAATTCACCACTTTCTGTTCAGCCACTTAGAAGTATGTATATGTAAATTGTATTATGCAACATATACATCTTTTCTGTCATTAAGTCCCTATACAATCATTATATAATCCCAGCAATGCAAAAGTTACAGGTTAGATACCAATCTTGAGTTGAAAATACAGGTCATAGCAAATGTAGTATCAAATGTGTCCCACATTAAACACTATTCCCAATACTTCATATATTACATAAATCACCCAAAAATCTATATGGTCTCTGAACTCCTTGTTTGCAAAGAAATGGTACATAATCTATGGATAGTGGGTGACTACAACCTACCTAACATGGACTGGACTTTTCTGTCCCCCCATGACCTCCCCACACACTGACCTTGTGGCTCTCATTATTCCACACACAAACAGGTATTAATTACATGACTCATAGATATCATAAATATTCATTCACTCTCGCAAACAATACTCACTCCAACACAAATACAAAACATAGCACGTCTTGATGGTGCCAGTGACCTTCACACTACCTCACACATTCTAGACTTATTTCTCACAAACATTAGAGACATAACAAGTACCAAGGTTAACCCAGGACAGAGCAACCATGATTGTTCTCGTTAACGTAGACCTCAGACCAACCTGACAAAGAGAGAGATGCTTACCTATATTCCAGAACTGACAGTTGTAGTCACATAGGACATCACTAACTACTGCATGGATTACTTTTATACAGATCCCTATACAAGTCTCTTTACTTCTAACTGTTTATTATTCAAATGATATGAAACTTAGTGGTGTTTATCATCCTATATGTGTATATAACGATTTAAAAAAATCACAAAATCTGATCATAATTAACAAACTTCGTTCTTCAGCACGACAGCCCCCTTAAACATACCATACTCACCTACAAAGAAAATGTATACCACAGAAAACACCTTCAAGCAGAAATACATTTCCTTGATTCTTCAGGGACCTATGCAGACACCATAAAAAATAACTTTACAGACTCACAAACATACAACACTCCAGATAATCCTTCCGAAAGACATTTTCCAAAACATACATATTTATAAAAACAAACATATTTATACCTACTTTATATACAATCTCGGAGCCAAACCTTTTTTTCAAGTCACAAAGACAAGACACTATTGCAATCATAGCCTTGAAATCAACATCACCCTTGAAACCAGCCCAAAACACAAAATACGTATAATCAACACATACTTTCAATTCATTTTCACATACAGATGCCAACATACCCAAATGCCAGACAGCCCTTATCTTCCAATCCCTCCGCTTGACAGATCGACTAATGGCATACAAAAAACTGCTGAAAACACTGGCCACTGCCTTATCCTGAGGTCCTGCACCTGTACCCTAACTCCTACCTTACAATCTATGTCCTCCCAGTCACTTGCCTTAACCATCCTACTATAGAAGGGCTTTATGCAAATATCACAAAGACTTTGACAAAGTCTCTAACAAAAAACACTTAAATTATGATATTATGATATCACAGGACCAATTTTTTTTATGTGTAGGACCCTAGCGGGTCTTGCTTGATGGCACATCTTCTAACTCGGTCCCTGTCTCTTCTGGTATTCTGAAAGGCAATGTCCTTGGCCCCTTTCTTTTTCTTTTATACATTAACTACCTTCCACTATCTGCACCCATGTCTTCCAGTAGACTGCAACTTAAAATCTGCAAATGAAACTGCAGACATACCCGCGATCTTTGCAATTCTATGGACCAACGTGCTAAAATTAGAAAAGCTCTATGGGAATCCAACCCATCTCGGTAAAATCTACCGTAATTCACATCATCCATACCCCCCAAAAACATCCGGTAATTGTTGAAGACCGCGACGCACCCTCGCAGAGACTTAAGTCGAAAAAAATGTTTTCTGCATGAAATCCTATGATTTCATCGATTTTCGGCGTTGTTTCTTTGCGAATGAATCGTTCAGGAGATCGAGTACCATTTCTCCATCGACGATCTTGATTTGATAGTCCCGTTAGCAGGGGAGGGCATGAAGTATATCAGGGAAATTATGGGGTAAAACAAGCTTAAATAAGAAACGATCAAAAATGCGTAAAACTAGCACAAAAAGCGCTTAAAATCGGCCAATGAAACTCTACGGATGTAACCGCCATCTTTGAAAGTTTACGGACTGACGCGAAATAAATCAAAAACTCTACGGGAACCCAACCCACATTTCGGCAAAAAATCTACGGGAATTCACACGTTCCAACCCCCAAAAACGTATTGACCAATAAACCAACCAACCTAATATATCAATATAAATTGCCGTGACTAGGCGTGCCCTTCGGGCACTGCCCGAGGGGAGGGTTGATGGGGGGCAAGCCCCCCAACACCCCCCAGGACACATTCTCTCCACCACGGTATGTACGGCAAGACAGAGCTGCATTCACACCGTAAAATAATAAACCAAATACCTTTATATCCGGAAACGTGAAACTTTCGTTTCTTTGTACTGTTGGGATTGCTTCGATTTTAATCACCTTTTCGTCTTTGGAGCTCTTGATGCTCAGATATAAAACTGGAAACGCAACATTTCTCACCGGCTTTCAATCTCGAAATGAGCGGGTTGGTGAGCTGTCAACCTGTGGCTGGCGCAAGAAAGTGTGAAAGCACTAGATGCGCAGGATTCGATATGAGGGTATAGAAATATAAAAATATTGCATGAAGTATAATAACATTACTGAAGACTTTAAAGGTATAATGCGTACAACACAATAATTAGCCAAATATCGTTTTGACAAGCGCGTAATGATACACGGATATTCGCGAACGCAAAATGCGTTCGTGGGTCAGTGTGTGTTTTCCTAGCAAGGTAAACAAGCTCATCGACTTTGAATTGAAAGGCGGCCGCGCGATAATATTTCGTATTTAGCGTGACTATAAGGCCGGTGCATCTTAAACTATACGCTATCCCTTCTATTTTTCCCGCTCTATAAGATGGCGGTGTCCATTTTCCTCTATCTAGGCGTCGCGGTCTTCAACCTCTACCAAACATCCTAAACATTAAATCCACACAACCTAACAATCTTAAGTTGCTGTGACTAAGTGTGCCTAGCCCAAGGAAA